GAAGAAGAAGAAGAAGAAGAAGAAGAAGAAGAAGAAGAAGAAGAAGAAGAAGAAGAAGAAGAAGAAGAAGAAGAAGAAGAAGACGACAATTTTCTTGTTTATTTTAATTTTTATTTTTGATTCATCTTTTACAGTTGGTTTTTTGGTATGTTGGGCTATAATTTCTTTTTGCATGAACACTGATGCAAAGAATGAGTAAAAATGCCCCTTCTTTCTCCCTGCTGCCTGTTAGCTCCTTGCCATCTTCTCTCTTTAGTGGACCTACTGTTTCCTTGATATTTTTCTTGTTATTAATATGTTGAAAGAAATGTTTTTTATTATCTTTGACTTTTGTAGCAAGCCTTAGTTTATTCTGAGCCTTTGCTTTCTTGACTTAATCTTTGCATATTCTGGATATCTGCTGATAATCAGCCTTAGTTATGTGTCCCTCTTTCCATTTTTTGTGTTTGCCCTTTAAATACTCTTTGACGGGGAAAAGATGAAGAGGTAACTACCTAATGTCATCCGTGGTAATATCAAGCCCTTTGTCACATATGCTTTTTCCAATTGTATTTTGCTTATTCTACCTTTCCTGACCAGTCTCCACTAGGTTCTTTTTTGACATGGACTTCAGTCTCAGAAGATTTGTGATAGACCTTCTTTGAGACCTAGTTTTTTAGACCACTCTTCTTCACTTAAAGATGACTAGGACCAAGTTCCGCACAGTTTGCATATTGCAGTTAGTCCTAGTTTATTTTTTAAAATATACTCTTACACTATTTTTTGTTGGTCCTTAGCTTTTCTTTAGTTGTCCATTGATGTTCATGGAAACAGTTTTACTTAGGTCGTAATTAGCTGACTCATATCTCTTATGAAAGCGCTTTTCATATATTGGTCTTCCATTATATACTAGCCTTGCATTTCTAGCTACAACCCAACTATGTAGCAATCAATTTCCTGCAAGAAACATCAAAACTTCAGTAAACTTAAAAACTTCATTATATAGTTGTCTACCCTGCCCACCAAATTGGAGAGGCAGGTATGTTACAAGTCCCCTCACTTAAGGAGGTCTATTTAGTGGAACCAAGAAGAAGGTATTTTTCTGTGCAATCTCCAACCCAGTGGAACATCATAAAATTGTCCCCCTACCCCTATTGTGCTCATTGTTGCGGGTGGGGTGGGGTAAGGGTTTATTGGGTTTTGTATTTGGGGTTTTATTTCTGTAATCTTCCTGGAGTCACTGTGAATTAAGCAATCATATACATTTTAATGAAAATAAATTTTTCAAGGAGACCTCATATGCAATTTGCAGCCTTGTATGATCTTTTGCCCAAGGATTACTGTCATTCCTTAATCACTTCAGAGACGCCTAAGCCTTCAACCTAAGCCTTTTGTTTTGCCATTAAACCATGGAAACTGCTCCATATACCACCTGGTTGAACTCAGGTATATCTCCCAGCGTGTATTGATTATATTTCACCATTCAAAAGATCTTTGGTAGATCCATAACTCTTTACATGTTAATTCATATATGACCACTTGCAGAATTTCATTTACAGACTATTAAATTATTATGTTCAGTATCCATTTTCTGATTTTCTAGCAAAATATTATACACTAATATATTTCCTAATTTCTTAGTTTCTCTATTATTAATTTTATTTATCTCCTTTATAATTTAATAGATATCTAGGTTTGTTTTACACAAATGAGAAGGCATTTTGTTCTATAAAAACGAATGCAAGAATAAATTATCTAGGCTACCTCTTCTATCACTTCTTCAATCGTAATATTTTGTTTTTCTGCAAAGGGCAAGAACAAAAATCGTTTATTCCATGTATAGCCGAAAACCTGCAAAAGAAGTTAAAAGAGAACTATTAAAGATGGGAGTAAATTACTACATTTTAGAAGATTCTTGGTGCCTGAGACGAACTAAGTAAGTATTTCAGTAATAAGACTGTAATTGTTTCCCTCAAATGTTCAACAAGCAGATTCCTTTTAACATCACCCATTTCATGAAATGATGTGGTTGCGTGATGTGCTTTACAGTTGTATCACTTTAGAAATTCTGTTTGTTTATTTTATATCCCAGTTTTATTATTATTGTAATAACTCGAGGTGATGAAATATCTAACATTTCTCCTCTCAATTCCTCCCCCACCCACCCCCAACACAATCCTGTGAATTGAGTTGATTGAGTGAGAGTAATTGGCTCAAAGTCACCCAGTGGACTTATAAAGAGGAGACCATGACTTAAGCATGCCTAGGCTTTAGGCATGAAAGTCCGCTAGGTGATTTTGAGCCAATTACTCTCACTCAATCAACTCAATTCCCAGGATTGTGTTGGGGGTGGATGATATGTTCATTATCAGTGACGTGCCCTCACTAGAGGCAGGGGAGGCGGGGCCTCACCAGTCTCCTGAGGAAAAGGAAACAATTTTTAAAATAATTAAAAAGGCTAAGGTAGTTGCTCCCAAACTCTAAGTCACAGTGACTCTGAGTCTGCTTAGTGCAGTTAGGAGGAGGAGGCTAGAGAACTATGGGCCTCCTTTGCATAAGGAATTTTTCATCTTTTAAGAGTTAACCAAGGGTTAAAAAGC